TATAAAAATAATAAAGAAAAGAAATCCCGAAAAGGGATCAAGATAAAACATTCTCTTACATCGAGAATTTTAGTTAGCATTTTTCCTCCCTGTCGCCACAAATTCGAAATTGAAAGTAAATGAATTTGTTCCCAACGGACAGTTAGGAGCATGGGGAAGAGATCAAGGTTGGCGAATTATCGAAAGATATCATAGCAAAAAATAAAGCTAACCCCCATAATCAGTATTAGGTTTGAAAATACCTTGGCAATCACGAATGGGTCCTCGTCTTGTCAACAAGACAGTGAGAATTAGTATAACCATGTAAATGACACACATATGTGTGGTAAGAAATTAAGAATAAAGAGTTAGTTTTCGATTAGGCGGGACAGTGAATTAATGAGACTACATTAGTATTGAAAAAAAAAAATATATCCGTTTTACATCGATCTATAAGAAAAGAATAAAATATTTTATGTTCGCTTTTTTTTAATAAATTTTAATAAAAATTAACCAATTGATTTAATTTAATTGTAATTTGATTAAGAATGGTTAAAAAAGTAAGTTTAAGAAATTAAAGAAATTTTAAAAGTTAGGAAATATGTAATGCCCATTAACATGAACATAGGTGTAAATTTAGTTCTCCAACAAAGTTCCTCTCCTTAAAGAAGTGAAATAATTACTACAATTCCAAAGTAGTTTGCTTACATTAAAAAAAAATAGTTGTAATTGACTACATTTGTAACAAATTAGTTGTAGTAAACTGCAAAAATAATGTAGTTTTTTTGAACACTGGTTTTAAATTAACGAGTCGAAATTTGAACGAGATTTGTCGAATGGTTGCCGTAGAATATTTAAATCATCGTAGTTTCATAACTACATGGTATAATAACGAATGAATAAAATATATTAATTAACATAGTATAAGAATTTTCGATGTTAAGAACGAATCAATATATAAGTTTTAAACCACCGAGAACACTGGTTTTAAATCACCGAGTCGAAAGTCGAACGAAATTTGTCAAATGGTTCCCGTAGAAAATTTGAATCATCGTAGTTTAATAACTACATGGTAAAATAATAAATGAATAAAAGATATTAATTAACATAGTATAAGAATTTTCAATGTTAAGAACGAACCAATAGGTTTTAAACTACCAAGATTACTGGTTTTAAATTACTGAGTCGAAATTTGTGAAATGGTTCCCGTAGAGAATTTGAATCATCGTAGTTTCATAACTACATGGTAAAATAATAAATGAATAAAAGATATTAATTAACATAGTATAAGAATTTTCAATGTTAAGAACGAATCAATATATAGGTTTTAAACTACCAAGATTACTGGTTTTAAATTACCGAGTCGAAATTTGTCAAATGGTTCCCGTAGAAAATTTGAATCATCGTAGCTTCATAACTACATGGTAAAATAATAAATGAATAAAAGATATTAATTAACATAGTATAAGAATTTTCAATGTTAAGAACGAATCAATATATAGGTTGAAATATTTGAAAATTGCCTTCTAGTTCATTAAAAATAATTGTGGTATTTAAACTCTTTCTAATTAGTTTGAAAGACAATAGCAACACTTATTTTTTTATTGACTATAAGCATACGAGTTTTAACTTTAGTTAAAGTTCTAGATAATTGTTTTACTTCGGGAATGAGCAAATTATTTTTAAATTTTCATTTCGCTACTTTAACATTTTAAAAGCGTTTTCAGTAGCTTCAAACAAAAGATAAAAAAAAGTCGTACAAAAAATGTACAAAAACGTACTGTTTTTTTACGGAGTTTTTTTCCCCAAGGATACAATTACAGTGAAATGAATAACAATGTCTTTTTGTTTTTGATGTAAAGAAAACTAAAGGATATTTTTTTCAGGAATTTCATACACGAAGAATTATTTGAGCTCAAATGCTCACATACAAAAAAAAAGGAAAGAAAATCATGAAAAAATAAACAATTTTTAAAGAGTAGTAAAATGTTTATTTAAAAAACAAATGATATTTTTTTTAATAGAGGAAACAGGTGAGGTGATTATTAAGTTTTTGTTAAGAAAGCGAAGACTAAACTATTATAACATGCAAAGCTGAGACTGACTGGCATAGTATAAATGCTCTTAGAAATATATTTAATATAACAATTTCATTCAAATTAAATTTAATTTCATTCAAATATAATTAAATTTAAATAAACTTAAGCTGAATTTTATTTATTTCAAACTAAGAGGAATTGAATTTAAGTTTTAATTGGAAAGAATTTAGGTTTCAATTGGCTAGACTTCAAATATTAACTCAAAAGAATGTTAGTTCGAAATGATTTTTTTTTCAATTTAGAAAATAGAATTTGAACAGTTATTATACTAATAAAAAATATCCTTAAAATTTGAATCAAGTGCTAATTTTCTATGAAGTATCGTTTAATTTTATGCAAGCTTTAATCGTTTTGCATTAATAGTGGTTGAATTGAATTTTAAATTATAATTAAATAGAATTGAAGTTTGATGCGAATTTTTGTTCAGAAAATAAATATCAAATTTTTTTTAAAAAAAAGTGGAGATTTTATATTTATTGCACTCATTACTACAACCGACACAGTATAAATGATCCTTAAGAACGTAATTAAAATCTGAATCAAATTAAAATTTTAATTTCAAAAGGATTAAATTTAATTCTTTAACTTTCATTAATTTGTAGTACATATTTTTGTTTAAATTGAATTTAAATTATAATTGAATAGAATTCAAATATGAATTGATTTTATTGTTTAGAAAATAGTGACCGAATAAATGTTATATCAAAGCTTACAAAAAAATACATAAAAATAAGTAATAAAATTTGAATTCACATCGAATAAATTACTTTCTGAATTAAAATTCAAATAATAATTGAATTACATACAAATTTTCATTGAAATGAATTTAAAGTTTTGTGCAATAAAATTTCCAGTGATTTAAAGTCAGTTATGAATTGATGAATTGATGGAAAATGAATTGATCAAAATTATGAATTGATGGAAATAATGAAAATGTAACCATGGAAGACCGAAATCAAGAGAATGTCGACTTTCACCGGTGAATGACAGCAATCACAGAGTCGCTTTTGTAAATGTACGAAATATTTGTTATATCCAATTTGATATTAGTTTATATTACTATGTTTATCCGATATTTTAATATCTGCTGAGGATAGATTATGGGAAACATCAGTGGTCGGAGTACCAGTTGAATGCATACTGGGCAGCGGCACTTGATCTTAAAAAATATTGATGTAAGACATACCGGGCAGTGGTACTGAACCAATTTCGGCCATTCACAGTAACAGTCTATGTTAAACAAGAGATATGAAGTGATTGTTTCAAAGTAGACTGTTGTATTAGCCTTAAGGCCTGTTTACACGGAACAAGTTCTTGAATGCCAGAAATTGGAGGAATGTCTCTCTCCGAGAAATTGGATGATTCGCGGACACTATCCAAGTTCCTGAATGTCCCTGATGGGTCGGATGAAAAACTTGCGCATGCGCATTGTTCATATTCAACATCATAAAATCATACTTAAGGTCTGGTTTCTTAGGACAAGCGCCTTATGTGAGCGTCAGCGGGACGTCAACGTCCCTCTGGCGCCAACAAAATACTGGTTTGTTAGCTCAAGACCTGGTTTCTTAGAACTAGCGCCTTATCTGGGCGTCAGCGGAAAGTTGACGTAGAGCTGACGCCAAAAAAATACTTTTTTGTTAGCTCAGCGTGAGCAGTCGGTACAACGCAGACATTATCTCTCATTGCGCATGCGTTAATAACGTAAACAAATATTTATTTTGAATTTGTATTGATTTTGTTCTTGTAGACCAGTGTTTTAGAGAACAAATAATGACTTTGTCCAAGAAAAAACACATTATAGCTGGGTTAAATGAAGAGTGCAATGTTTAATGAAGAAGCTATGTTTAATGTCAAAATCAAAATCTTGACTGATTTCAATGTGCTGTTGGATGTTGTCCGCCATTGCTTCTGTGGTTCACGTCACGTTGTAATCCAACTGCAGTTGAGTTGGACGGCAATTGTAGTTCAAGATGAGCGTTCGATGACGTATACTATCGAACTCACAAATGGACATATCAGAGGTTAACGCTGATTTCCAGCTGACGGCGTCCTGTCCTAAGAAACCAGGCCTTTACATGAATTTAAAATTACGAAATAAATTCAAATGAAATCATAATTATACAAATTGACCATAACAGATTGAGTATTGAGTATAATAAAGTGAGGCGTGCTCTCTGCTTTCGCTTATAGCACTGCGTTTCAATAGGTAAGGCTAAATTTAGCCTATCAAGATTTATTTGAGCTCTGAGGCTCTTCTTCAAATTCAACATGCTTCCACCGAGTCTAGCAGGGAACCACCCCATAACAAATTAATTTATTTGGACAAAAATATGTTGTTGCAGTTTAGTTACTTCGCACTAAAGCTGCACAATGTGCTATTGGCGACGGTCTGGGAAACATCCCAGAGGATGATCCGAAGACATGCCATCACAATTTTGATCCTCTGTAGGGGGGATGGTACCCCCGCTTCGGTAGCCCAACGACCTATGCGCGAGTAAGTAGAGCACTTTACGGTAGAACAGTTTAACGAGGACCAATCCCCTCGGTCCCTTCGTAGACTGAACCAAGTGGTCAACCTGCCGCACGCTAACCCCAGCCAGTGATGCTTGACTTCAGTGCTCTACTAGGAACAGTGGGACTAAAATATATGAAAAGGGACAACAAAATGGCATAATCTGATGCCTGCTTGTTGACGTCATAAAATTTAAGCATCTGATTGGTTAAGGGGAAAAAAACTTGGATGGGAAGTAGAACATGCTCTACTATCATCCCAGGACTTGGACCAAGAACTCGCATGATCGTTTACACGTTCCAAGCTCAAAGCAGAACAAGTTTCAATCGATCTTCGTCCAAGAACTTGGATCGTATAGACAGGCCTTTAATGACAAAAGAGAGTGAAGTTATTCAAAGAGTATTTTGTACCATTATATCTGATTCGTTGCACCTCTCGGCAAACTCCAGTCCGGCTAACTTCCATGTGCCTCGCTTATTCACTATCACCGATTGTGGGCAGAGATTCCGGTGGATCAGCTTGCAAGAGTAGTGCAGAAATGTCAGCGCTTCTGTTATCTGCAAAATACAATCAATCCATCAATAAATAAATCAATGAAGGAATTTTGAAGTAAGGCAATCTAGGACTTTCAACTGACAGAGTAAGTAGGGGAGAGTCGGGTAGCCCCTCTCACTTAAGGAGTATTGCTTATATTTCTGTATAATATTGAGTAATAATCAATATTTTTGTATGTTTCTATTGTTTTATCATCTAATTAAATAATGCGAAAAGAATAAACCAAAAAAAGAATAGTTTGACTTAAAAATTAGAAATTTAAAAAAACATGCTTTTCAGCTCTTTTCAAAATGTGTCGGGTAGCCCCGCCCAGTTACGAAAATTATGTTTTTTGACTGCTTTTTCAGGTGACCAATGTATTGACAATAGGTAAACCTCGTTTATCATTTTTATCACAAAATTATTTTATTTATTACATATTTATATACTTTTAGTGAATTCTATCATTTAATAACAATCATTTAATTATAATAATATTTGTTGTTAAAAATGCATATAACATTCAAATTTGAAGCAATAAAATAATAATCCTTTGCAACCGTACATTTAACGACGAAATAAAATTGGGCAGTGATACCCGACATTCATGTGAGCGGGGCTACCCGAAATTCAATTTTTTTGTAAATTTGTAATTACTCGAACAATTTTTCACAAATAAACTTTTTTCTTTGTGCAAATTAAACTTAAGACTACATACTTTAATGCTGTATGTATAGAAAAAATTATTTTTTTAGTATTAAAATGAAGTTTAATCGAAACATTCAACCAATTTTTCTTCATTTCATGACTACTGTACATATTTTCAAAATTATTTTCATATTTTCAAACATATTTTCAAAACTATTGTAAACCATGTTAACAGCTACATAAATACTTGAAATTTTGAAAATAATCTTTTTTTTAATATAACATTTAATGTCCGATGGCCCATTGACTTGAAAAAATATTCTATACATATGAAATTGACAGTGGGCGGGGGTACCCGCCGGCGGGGCTACCCGACTCTCCCCTACAGTGCAAAAAAGAGAATAACTTTTAATCCAGTGATTGGATTTTTACATACAGAAGTTTCGATGGTTGTCCTTTGATTGACCATTTGATGGTTTTCCTTGATGGCAACTACCAATAATTCCATCATAAACCATTATATTTTTTGATAGTAACCAACTTAAGTAACCATCACCTCAATGTAAGAATTTAGACTGATTTATGAGGGTTTGCTCATATCGAACAACCACGAATCTCCATCATAGTATCATAGAAATAAAATGTTGGAACGATCATGAACAACCACTGTAAGAATTCGGACTGATTTATGATGTTCCAACATAAAAAACAAATTGTTTTGATGGTATATTCCTGAAAACCAAGAAGAATTTCTATCAAACTATCTTGAAAGTTTATAATTGGAGCCATTATGGACCATCACGGATCATCAAGGATTGTTGGTCCATAAGAATCAAACTTCTCTTGATGGTTAACCATCATGTTATTGAAGTAGCGTTTCCCATCATGGAATGATGGAAGTTTGTAGGCATATTAAACACCAGAAACACACAAGGAAGGTTGGATGACCGGACCATCAAATGATGTTGGACCGTCGGGAGTCACAATAAAACCAACATAAACCATCAAACTTTTTTAATGGGACCATCAAGAATTTTGACTTGGGTACAGTTCAGGTGTATTTTATAAAATTGTTTTGATGGTATATTTCTGAGAACCAACGAGAATTCCCATCAAACCATTAGGGAAACGTAGTTGGAACCATCACGGATTATTGGTTCATGAGAGTCAAACTTTTCTTGATGGTTAACCATCAAAGTATAGTATCATTTTCCATCATGGAATGACATAAATTTGTTGGCATATATAAAACCATGAACACGTAATGGGAAATGCTGGATAATGGTGACCATCATGAATCGCACTGAAACCAGTATAAACCATCAAAAAATTTTGATGGGACCATCAAGAATTTGGGATTGGGTACTAACACTCAATGGTTTAAAGGGGTTATTTCAAATATGCTTATTGGTGTACAAAAACGTGAAAAGTGTACTAAAACCTATTTTCTCTGAATAAAATTTCTTTTTTCCTTATAAGTTTACCATTAGAATATAACAGGAAGCTGGGAAATATGTTCACAATAGTTTGGTCAAGAGATGTCTTGAAAGTTATGACCCTTAATGTTACTTAGGATTCTCTATTTATTATTGTTGCCAACATTATTATTAAAATACTGACAAAGTTTATGTCTGACTAATGCCTGGTTTTCTCTTTCTAAGAAACTAAAATCCTATTAATTCAAAACTTAAATATGTCTACTTTAAAATCATATTTATTATTTCAAATTTTATCTTTCTAATTTTTATATCAAATTATTAAAATTAAAAAAGATAAGAAAATGTTAAAAATGATATGATTTTATGCAATAAAATTAAAAGCTTACAAGGGAAACTAGGGAAGTGTGACTCGCCAATTTTGAAATAAACTAGTGGGATGTATGCCTTATGAGGAACAATTTTAGGGGGCAACATTCGTTTCGGCCCATAGAAGGTCTTGTGAGAGATAAAAAAAAATTAAATATATGGAAAAATCAGTATTTTATTACTTCAATGCAGACTATTAGTAATTGCAATTGTCTCATAATCCAATTAATTTGTAATTAATTGGATAATTAATTTATTTTTAATTAATAAATTAATCAGAAAATTAATTAATTATTAATTAATTGCTAATTATTAATTAATTGTTCATTAATTAATTGATTTGCAATTACATACTCCAATTAATTTGGAAAGTTTTTTAAAGAAAAAAAATAAAAAAATTTTGATGTAAATATTTTTTTTTAAATTAACCTAACAGGTTTTTCTGAAAAACTGCAGATACATAAAATTTTCAAAATCAATTTTAACAATAAATATGCATTATATATTATGTGAAAGTAATTAATTATCCAATTAATTACAAATTAATTGGAGTATGAGACAATTACAATAACTAATAGTCTGCATTGAAGTAATAAAATACTGATTTTTCTATATATTGAATAATTTTCTATCTTTCATACGACCTTCTATGGGCCGAAACGAATGTTGCCCCCTAAAATTGTTCCTCATAAGGCATACATCCCACTAGTTTATTTCAAAATTGGCGAGTCACACTTCCCTAGTTTCCCTTGTTAGAATTAATAAAAGTTATGTATTAATATAAGAAATATTTAGAAAAAATGTGAGTATTTTAATAATAATAAAGCTAATAAGTGAGTATTTTAATAATATTTTAATAATAATATCAATTTCTAAGCACAGAAAGGTAGGGCTTATTATAATACTATTCTATAATATAAAAGTATACTATAATACTATTCTATGTAAAAGTGTAATATAATACTAATCATTCTATTCTATAATATAAAAGCTGTTTAACTTCGGATGTTATTTCAACGCAAATATTAAATGCATATCAAAAGATTACAAAATGATTACTATTTCTTAACATATCTAATTACCTAATTTAAAATTACTAATGTTTATACACGTGCTTCATTATAATTAATGTAAATATAGCAAACATAGCATAAAACGGATAATCAATACTCAACACTATCAAAATAAAGTCTCGTAGTTAGTACGATAGTAAAGCAGTTCATAATTTGTTCGAGATTAACACGCATTTAGTTTAATGAATTTGTTCAAATCTTAATTCATCATTTTTAAAATGATTAGATAAATTCTTCGTTCGAAACAAGAGCTCTATGCAGCATTTAATGAGATCTGATATTAAGTTCAGATATTCTAATTGCTATTTTCTTTTGTTTTGTTTGGAATCGTGAAAAAATAAGAATGCTTGATTTTGATGCAGAAAATAAATAAATAAAGACTGAGTTAAAATGTACAGCTTTAAATGAATATAAATAAAGAAATAAAAGCAACTTTGAAAAAGAAAAGAATATAATGCCAACAGTGGTTACCCTTTCCTTAAATGCTGTTTTTTTTCCGATTAGATTTTCATAAAAGCTCCAACATGTCAACAATTTATCGTCTGAATTGTTTTACAATTTTAGTCAATTTACGTTTATCAAGACGTTACAAAATTCTTTTCTGTTTTCAGTTTTCATATTTATATTAAAAATACCGGTCAAGTCAGTAATTATGAATAAGTTAATCATAAAAACAACATAAAAATATTTTAAATTAACGTTATGTATAAACAACAAAAATGCTTATTAGTGAAAATAAAAAGAAAAAGAAAACTCACTCTGGAAAAATTCAAATCCAAGAAGTTTCTAAATTATCGTCTGCTTTTTTATTTGTTCTTGTTGTGCTGCATTTTTATTTAATGCTTATGTCAGCTTGATTTATTATGTATACATTTCGTTACTTGTAATTATGTATGAGGAAACTGATCTAGTAGAAAAGTGTGCGGACATAAAAAAACAACAACAACATAGAACAGCACTTAATTTTGCAATGGGTAAATATCGAAGCGTTTACTATCTCATTAACTTTCGTTTCAATTATCGGATTTTAAAGTTCTAATACAAAATCTAAAAACAAGTTACAGAGACTAAATTGATATACTCTAAGCAATTTGTATAGACGATATTTCAGTATAAAAAATCACACTCAAAAACAGACTTTCTCTTAAAAAATGCTAATTTAAAACAGATTTTGCTTTGTTTGATCCCTCAAAGCATGGAACACAATCTGTGAAATATTGTTGTTGTTGTAGTTTACGTCGCACTATAGCTGCACAATGGGCTATGCGCGACGGTCTGGGAAACATCCCTGAGGATGATCCGAAGACATGCCATCACAATTTTGATCCTCAGCAGAGGGGATGCCCCCCCACTGCGGTGCCCAACGATCTGCACGCGAAGTTGAGCACTATAAGGTAGAACAGTTTAACGAGGACCATTACCGCACACCCTCGGTTCCTACGCAGACTGATCCAAGTGGTCACCCACCAGCACACTGATCGCAGCCAGTGATGCTTG